ATACCGCAAAGCAGTTGGTGGGACCTCCACAACCAGTACGTAAAAATGAACTGCTAGGTCTCAGCAGGCAAAAAATAAGGAGGATAGTGGCCTTTCTAACAGGACACGCCCCCTGTAAAAAACACCTCTTCAGGATGGGACTGAGCGATCAATCGACCTGCAGGGGTTGCGAATTAGAGGACGAAACTACTCTGCATGTTATGCGAAGACTCCTGGGAGGGGATGAAATTCCACCAGACCAGATCATGCGAACTCCCCTCAAGATTCTTCTGGAATTCATTAAATATACAGGGATAATGAGGGAGTAAAATTACGAGGGCACAATAGGACAGAAATGACCGCGTTGCAAGGCCAAACACCACCTCGGCGGTGAGGAAAGGGTTTTAGTGGGTAAACAGCTTAGCTGGAGTCCCACACAACCCAGAGCGACAGACCACCAGCTCTGGGAGTGCATAAAAGAGCATTTCCCAAACCTCACCGAAAAAAAAATGTGCGATGTGCTGTACATAGTTAGTAAAGGCGTCCCAGTCAATGTCTATAGTTAACTGATAGACATTTTTTATGAAGTTTTCGATTAATTTTAAAAATTTTAATTGGGTTATCGACCGAGCTGAGTTTCTTATTGCTAAATTACGGGCGATGTGTCTGGAAACAGCGATTTTGAAAATGTAAGATGTTGGTAGTGGAAGTGAGTGAATCAGGGGAGAAATTTGGAGATCTTTTCCTTTGGATAGTTTATAGTACCCCTTCACTGTTAGACCTTTTATAGCCTTATATAGTACGTTTGCTGTTCTGTACGTGGTTTATGGGTTTTGATTGAAAAGGTTTTATAATCTGTAGTGGTAATAGCTACTTTTGAGATTCATCGGCTGATATTAGTTGGATTGAATTTTTGATGATTATGGCGGTGCCTCTGCATCGTGTGGGTTTGTTGGCAGTATATGAAATAATTAGTCAGTATAGAAATAGTCTGAGGAAGGTTTCCTGGCTGGTAAGGGATGACTACATCTTTTTCTCTCAAGTACGTGTCAAATTCTCAAACTTTTAGGGTAAAACGATGCGGAAGTCCACGAGACGATATGACCACCTGATGAATTAATGCGATTATCATTATCTTATCATTTTTCAGGAGCAAATTTCTGACATTTTTTCATTGCCAAATTTTTTTCCATTTTAGCAGCCTGGATTCTGATTCCGACATCAGGAGCAATGGTAGGATTTTGGGATAGAAGTTGTTTGGTTGGTTGGAAATGTTTTTGTGGTCGGAATTGGGTTTGATTGATTAGAATTTGGCGGTCTTTTCGGCAAACCAAATCTCTGCTTCTGCGAAGTTTCGTTCTGTAGGGTGTAATTTGGGGTTTTGCAGGGCCGGATTAATTTGTGGTAGGGCCCGGGTCTAAGATCCCTGCAGGGGCCGTTTTCTAAAAAAAAGGTCCGATATCACCTCCTTGTCGCGACATTTTGAAAAGCCACAATCCCTTGGACGGGGGCCTGGGGGTACGATTGCCGTGATATAGATAGATATGATTGGTTGTCAATTGTTAAGCAGAGAAGTCCTGCAGGAATATCAGACACTTATAAGTGTCTGATATTCAAACCTATAGACCTATAGGTGGTTCCAGATTATGCCAAAAGTTCATGTTGTATCCCAGAAAGAACTAAATGACTTTTTTATCCAACCAACAATCCTTAAGGAAATGTTGGCAGTTTTCTCAAACATGTTTTAATTTCACGAAATTTTAGATTTGCGTGTTTTTTGGAGTTGCAAAGGGGGGATCATGACCCCCTGAATCCGCCCTTGACAGCATTTGGCTGGGAGGTTGCATATATGAATATCCAGAATAGTGAAGTAAATTAGGAGTTTGCGACATAGTGTTCAAGAGTGTTCGGTTTTTATTCATATCAAGGATGTTTTTTTATAGGTATAGGACTTTAAACTGAAATAAAACTCATAAAAATAATTTTGACATTTTGAAAAAGCAATTGTACGCTATTACTGACATTTGACTGACAAAATTTGAGAGACGAATTTAAGGTTTCAAGAAGGCAAAGGCCTAAAAGAACGTTGATTTTAAAATCATGAGTTTGTATAAATTTTAAATCTGATGATGGCGCGAATCCGAATCGTAATAAAATAAACGATGTTCAAAATTTGACTTCACACTTTGAGTGAGACCCAGGAAAGATGAGAATATCATTACGATCATTATAATGGCATACGATTTTTTTTCGCTTTTTTGCAAACTCAAAATGATTTTTTTTTTAGTTTAAAGGTCTAAAGCTCTAAAAACCATCATTTATTACCATTTCTTTTACTCTAACGCTAAATTGAGCTGCGTACTCTGGTCTGAAATCACTGACGAACGTACCTGATATGTCGTTTTCATTCATTCATCATTTATTCACTAAGTAATTAACTTTAGGATTTGAATTAAAATAAGCGAAATGATCATTCAAATCAATTGCTAAGTTTACAAAATTTATAGAAAAAGGGAATCCGAAAATTATACATCTTTTTGGCACACTTTTCTATTTACAAATTACAAATAAAACCTAATTTCAAACGTAAACCCGAAATGTGGTTAAAATTTTAAATTCTTTTCACGGAAAAATTTTGTGTTTTTACCAGTCCATCAGAATCATCAATAAATATTATTGATTATAACACTGGTTGTCTGGCAAGATAACAGAAAGTCGATTTAAAAGGGGTAAACAGTCGCAGCTTTAAGTTGTTATTGTCTTTTGCGGGTCATCGCCTATGCAGCTTGGCTATTGGTTGCGCCAAAGCAGGTTTTCAGCAATTTAAACAAAATAAAATTGCTTAAAAGCTGTGACCAGTCTTCTGTTTAGTTAGATAATCGCGTCAAGGCGCCAAGAGAGAGTTCTGAGGAAATACCTATATTATTCTAGTCTGAATGTAAATTTGTAGTGGTGATAGTGCTAAAATGGATGCTAAAAGCAAATATCTTTTGACCAATAATAACTGGTGAGTGTGGATTTTTAACAATATTCCTTTATGTTAATTGGATATTGACTTGATTTGAAAAATGTGTTTTGATCTTTTTTGAAATTCTAAGCGATGAAAATTAACTTAAAACTATAATTTATATGGGGTTAAGATAAAAATAGGTTATCTAAGTTCCAAATAAATATAAAAGATTTAGATTGAACAAGTTTTATGAAGGTCGTGACATCGTGACTCCATTAAACATCGCAGAATGTTTTTTTTGCTGCAGAGTGTCTTATGCCAAAGTGCAACAATTCAAACTTTATAATTACTCCTCATCACCTAATACTAAGATCTGATTTTTAGTCGATTAATTGAATAAAAAATGGTCATATTGTATAATTGATCAAACTAGTCTGAATGAGTATCGGACTTTCTTGTACAGTAATTTACTGTATTATACTACACTGAACTGTTTTAAAAATCAATTAGATTGCTTGTTGATCTGAAACTTAATTTCTTTTTTGGCTTTTTTATTTTCAGAATTTTACGGGTTTCGATTTAAAAATCTGAACGATTCGTGTTCCTATACGGATTATTGCTGATTTATGCGTATATACAGGGTTGCTCATTAGTGCGTCAAAGTGCGATATCTCAGTAAATATGAAGTTTACAAGAAAATTCGTCCAACAAAAGTTTTTCACGTTCAAAAGGTCCACATTCTAAAATTACTTTCCAATATAGGGTGCATCATAAACGTGTGGTAGTTACCAACTCTGGTTTTTTAAATGAAACCCCCCCTTTTTTTTGTTATTTTCAGATTGGCCGTTCAATTTT